TAGTTATCATAAATATCATCCATAACAGATGTTAATATCACTGCTTTGGTCAAAAATGTACTTGCAACAAAGTATTTGGGCTCAAAATAGACATCCATTGCCCAAAAATAGCACTCTACCAATCTATCCCTTGCAAAAGGTAGCTTTGTTTTGAAGTCCAGTTTTTTCCACCACCTGAAATAGATAGTCAAGCCATAAAAGACCTTCGATGTGCATAATGAAGTTGAAGCCTAAATCACCTATTTAATTGAACTTACTCGGTGATGCTACTGAGCTCCTTCCGATGAAAGGCTTGTAGCAGGTTGAAGTCTAATTTTGCAAATCTTAATAGTTGTCCATTATTGGCATCAAAATGAACATCTTTGGAATATAGAGAGATGTGATGCCTTGCTCCTAATCTTGGCAAGGTTTTGTGCATGGGTTGATTCAATGCATGACTTATTTGTTCTGCTAACTGAGCGCTTACTTGTGTTGAAATAGATTCAAGATTAGAGGTTGTGAAAGCAATGGCTTCATTGAGGATATCTTCACCTGGTAGGGCAAGATGAGCAGCCTCGTACAAATTCAACATGCCAGGGACATCATTAACTAAGTCAGCCTTGAACTTGCCATTCTCATTCGTAAACTTCTTAAATACATCTACCACAAAAGGAAGAACAAGTTAAGCGGTAATTGACACATATAACATGAAAACTAAATCTATTTCTCTAATGTTAAGAAAGAGGAAAAGGATTAACCAGATGGAACATTGATTCCTTGTTGTCTAAACACTCGAAACCAAAGAGCGACGTTATAAAGATTAGAGCAATCAACACCGTCATGGTATATCTTCTCTAATGCATCGTCTATTTCTCTCTCAAAGTGGTAATCAACGCCTAGGCGTTGAACTGCATCGATTAAATACAGTTTCTTTAAATGTTCACTGTTCGTGTCATTGAGCATCCTTCTTACTTCCTCTTTCAATTGTTCATACTCTTGTTGAGTTGTTGCATCGTCAATTTTCTGCACAAGTAATCCAAAGAAATATTGACTAGTTCATCATGCTCACACAAATCTGGTGACAAAACTTGAGACATAAAAAGGTTTTCATGCATATGAACGCAAAAGAAAAAAAAAAAATTTACTAAATTTTATGTGCTTTGTAGTTTATTTACGTACCATGAACTTAGAAGAATGGGAAAGAAAATGATTCCCCCAAACGCAAGGATCAAAACTGGCTGTCGGACGACCTTTTTTGCGGGTGGTTCCATTCTGTGGTGAAGAAGGAGTTGCTAATACTTGAGCTGACATTTTTCAATTCTTTGATGAAGTGGGAAATCGCATGCAAATGCAATGCTAGTTTCAAGGGTTTGCTTGTGCCCCAACGAGCTTAAGAGCTTTTGGTATTTATAGAGCATCGCCCAAAGGGTTATGGTACTCTTAAGTTCACAGAATACAATATAGTGCAGCAATATAAAAATTATTAAAAATTTTACTTCTCTCAAATGTTGAGTGGGAGAAATACAGGACCCATGGATCTCATTTCAGTTCATGGCCATTTCTTTAGTACATAGCTAAAGAATAAAATTGTTCAGTAAGAAATGATATCTAAATGCTATTTCCTAGTATAGTCATCACTTGGTGTTAAATTAATGCACGCAATAACTTCCCAATTTCATTTTTATTTTTAATTTTGGATCGCATAGATAACTTTATTTTACATTTTTATTTATTTCATCAGCATACCTATTATTCGAAACTAAAATCATTTAATTAGCTTCGAATTGCATTCTTAATTTCATTCATTAACTGTTTTTTTTTTTTCAAAAAGAAAAAAAGTTTGTTTGCCTTAACCTCCACCCACAGAATATTCACATTAAAATAGGCGAATATTCACATTAAAATAGGTTAACAAATCACACAACTACTCCTGAAAACAACTCAAGAGTGCATAAGAGGCACTCCTTTAGTCACATTGTCAATATACACTAGATATACTTTAATTTACTATTTTAACTCACACAACTACTCCTGAAAACAACTCAAGAGTGCATAAGAGGCGCTCCTTTAGTCACATTGTCAATAAACACTAGATATACTTTAATTTACTATTTTAACTTTGTTAGAATCGTATCCACAATATAATTGCTGATAAACTCCAAAACATCTGAAAGATCTAATTTGTCGACGATCTCAATGGGTCATCCACTGTTGTCACGGATTTTGTATCTTATTCTTATCTGAGTTAGGGTCCTCTCTCCACTCAATTATTAATTCCTTTGCCTTTTGAAAACAGAACACCACACAAGATGACCCACCGACGTCTATTTCATCCTTCTTTTCCGGTAATAATACACATATTGTGATGAATGAAAATTATTGCTTGGGAATGAGTCACGTCCCTACCCCCCATATATATAATTTTAAATTATATATAGGGAAATAACTTTTATTTTTTAATTTATGTTATTCACATATTAAAATATTTAAATCGTTGACACCAAAATTCTTATATTTTTTTTCCCTTGGGTAAATGATATTTCTCTATTTTTTCTTCCAAGCATTGGAAAATGATATTTCTAGTCCTACATTTCACATGTTGATAGTTTTTCGGGCAAAATTTAATAAATGGTCTATAAATTATAGGGTTGATGTCAATTTAATCTAGAAACTATTTTTTCTCCAATACCTCTTGAAGATCAAGGGCCTTCGTAGCAAAATCTACACTTTTCATCTTCTACCTTTCAAACATCAGTTGCAATCCTCGCCACAGCCACCATGCCTCGCCATCTCGATTTCCACACCCATGCTTTCTACTGTTCCTCCATACCAACATCCTCAAGACGAACCTAGGTCCGAAATCATCCCATTCTCACCCTGTCCCTCACATACATTCAGAAAACAATCCCCATCGTCTCATCACCAGGGCCACAACGGTGCAACCCTTAATCTGGTAGCCCTTATTCCATGGACCTACCTGCAGTACTCGCATCCCACCACCCTTCAACCCACCCAAACAACAGCCATGCGACTCACCTACCCAAAACAGAAGGACCCCAGGCACCAAAATGGGAAAAAAAATAGTTTCTAAATAAAAGTGACATAAACCCTATAGTTAATAGATAATTTAATAAATTTAATATTTCTCCCTGCAACCGTACAAGGCCGGGGTCCGGGGAGACAGGTGTTTGTTCCTGATTTTATTTTTTTTGGACCAAAGCTATAATTGGTAAAATATGGGTGGGGTTTCTGATTAGGCCAATTTGACAAGTGCATTAAGCTAATTTAATTTTAATTTTTTTAAATAATAAATATTAATTAATTTATTAAATAATAATTTCAATTATTAATTATTTTTAACAATTAAACAAAAAATTATATAACTTTAATAAAGGGGCATAACCATGCCCTTCTTTCCTCTTCTGGATACATGCTAGCTGCCCTCTTTCGAGAAAAAACAAAAGAAAAAAAAAGGAGTCAGTCATAGTGGCCAGTCAAAATCATTAACCTCATTGGTCAAACAAATTGACCCCAACATCAAAGTCATTGTGGCTCATCAAGTCCTATCAACAACCAAGTCAAAAAGACAAGGATATATTAATAGCAGAAAAAATCCCTGACAATATAAGAAAATGACAATCAACGTCGCTAAACTAATTTCTTAGCAATGAAAATCCCGGAACTTATGAAGACAAGGAAGAATGTAATAGTCACTCGGTCACAATATAAGAAAATGAAAAAATCTCACTTACAGTTAAAAAGTATTGGGAAGGATGTGATGCGCAAAGACTACCATCAAAAGTCGATCAATGAATATAGTAGGGAATAAAATATGGTTTCCATAGAGGCTGTGAATTAATTAAATTTAAGTATTAAAGTTAATTAATTTTAATTTTATTAATTTAACTAACTATTTAAACTAAATAAAACAAATTATTGAATTAAGTGAAATTAATATTTGAGGTTCTAAGCTAAAGGATCTAATTTTATCATAATCAATTGATATACAATTCAAATTAATATGTTTTGAAAATATTTACTATTTCTATGATAGGATTTTTTTAAATTTATTTGATATCTTTTCTCAAGTTATATCAAATTTATCTTTACTTGTTAACTATAATGTGAATTTAAATAAATAATAAAGATGTATCACTTTTTGTGAAATTTCCTACCTTATGTAGAACCTTTCAAATTTGTTTATCACTAATACCATAAGAATTACATTGGTTTATCTTTAATTTTCGTTTAATTTATGGTATATATTATTAAAAGTTATTACATAAAATTTCTTTTTAACTCTAATTATACTCTCTAAATCAATTTTAATGATAATAAATTATTAAAAAGCGTTAAAAAAATAATTTTACTCTACATTAAATAACAAGGCCTTGATAGTATAAAAAAATATAAAATTATATATATAATTGACTAGATTGCATTGTACTCTTAAATGGTTAAATTTTTTAACAATTAAAGAAAAGAAAAGAAGATAAGAGAAAAGAAATGGAAAGAAAAGAAAAGAAAATGTCCTATCACGAACATAAAAGAAAAGAAAGGAAGAGAAGAGAAAAGAAAAGAAAAGAAAATGTCCTATCATGAACATAAAAGAAAAGAGAAAAAAAGAAGAGAAGAGAAAAGAAAAGAGAATGTCCTATCATGAACATAAGATATTTGATAATATAACAAAAAGCAAAATCTTACGTTACAACCTCGAATTTACCTCAAAATTTTAATTAAGTTTTTAAATTTTTATTAAAACAAATAAACCATTAAATTTGTTGATTTGGGCAATTTAATCATTTTTCTTATGGCGGACTTAAAACCCATTTGTGCTTTACTTGCATGGTTAAGATCAATACCCACCTATAGGCAATGACATATCAATACTTTAGTCATGTAAGTAATGCACAAAATGACATTAAGTTTGTTGAGAAGAAAATGGTCAAATTATTCATATCAACAATTTTAGGGACTTATTTGTTTTAATAAAAGTCTAAGGGTTTAATCGAGAATTTGAGATAAATTTGGAATAATATAAGGCTTTGCTAAAAATAATTAAGGATAAGTAAAACTCATTTAATAATATAAAATTTCCAATCTTGATCTTCTTTAATTGTTGAACTCCTCGTTGCCAGCTAAATTTTGGTCTTTAATGAGAATTTACAGAAACGTGAGGATGTCCAAACAACCATGTTAAAGTTGATAATTGTTCGAACTGCTGACATATTCATTTTAGGTTGGACCAAGCTCAACACGTCGGTCGTTAGTCAGTGATATAAGGTACATCTATGCACATGTATAGCACTGGATGCACTTCCTCGCAAATCACTCCTGATGCACCACATCTTACCCCACAAATTACTCCAACCCAATCAAGTGAACCTTATCCACAAATATTTTAAACTGAAAGTGCTGAATTTGGGGTTTTGGGATGAGGGGTTTTCTCAGGGTGTGGAATGTGTTTGGATAAGGGTTTAGAGTTTTTGACTTATTGTTGGGACCAACTATTGAGAGTGGAGTGATTATTTGTTGGGTCTCAATATCCACTATTTGGTCTATTGAAATAGGATTGTACTTTTAAGGGCTATAAATTTATAACAATGATTTTTGTTACCAATATTATGTTAAATATATTGATAATTACCATTTCAAGTGCAAGATATTTGTTAGTCGGTTTAGTTTTTTTTTTTTTTTTT